GCGTCAGCTCGGTCGTTCCCGTAGATGTCGCAATGTCCTGGTATCCATTGTATGTGAAGGTGTCCGTGAATTTCACAGCATTGGCAGATAGTGGTCCACATTTTGTCCTCTATCTCAGTACAAACTGCAGTCACTCTGGACATTAAGTGTTGAACACCTGACTGACTGGGAGTCTGTGAAGATGTGGATTCTTTGAAAACGTGGTTGTTTTTCGAGCCATTGCAGTGCGCGGAGCAGGGCGGTAGTTTCAGCTCGGTAGCTGCTTCTGTATAGTCCCGCAGGCACAGATACGCATGTATCCTCCCCAGAAGATTTGTCTAGACACCAGTATCCTCCTCCACATAACCTGTAGCCGTCTGTGGCATGGCCGTCAGTGAAGATATCGAGGTCGGACGTAGACAATTGATGCACGGTCTCAAGAGCTGCTTCACGTCCAATATTAGGTGGATCTGTTTTTGTCGTAGACACTGCAAGTTTTGAGTTGATTGTGAGGTTGCAGGGGGTCTTCCACGGGGGAGTTGTACTCACTGGTCGCAGGGGTTCTCGGATTAGATGTTCCAGTCCCGCGTTATTAGAGCTCTGTCGGCCCACTTCCCTCCAACTGTTGATGGACTTTAAGCGTATTTTTGATGTTCCTTCAGCTGAGGCACGGATCGGGTTGTCTTCTGGGACTCTTCTTGCTCTCTCGTATGCCACAGCAGTTGCAATGGTAGACTTAACCTCAAGTGGGATCAGGCCAGCTTCGTTTGTGAGCAGCATTGCATTTGAGTCTCTCGTACACCCGGTAATTATTCTGGCTGCAGTCATTATTGGGACCTCTATGTGGTGCTGCAGACCCCGGAACAAGTACAGCTTCGGGCCGAACGCCAATCAACACCTGGATTCAGACAGGAACGGAGGCGACCGAGTTTTTGTCCGGAGGCTCAGCCGAACCGGCTGATCTGAGTCTCCTATTAATAATGGCCGGTGATGTCGAAATCAACCCTGGACCTCCGATGCACCACCTGTGCCAAATGGATACACAGCAAATGCAGTGGTCTATCAATCCCAGAAATTCGATGTCTCTCCCACAACCACGCTTGGACTTGCCCGGCCTGCTCCGTGCCATCCCCTATCTGAATCGACTACATGGCCTAATCCAGCTCATAGAAGTATTATGTTCGAAGTCCTGTATGTGCATGTTTGTGTTTGTGCCGCTGAGATTTAACAGTTATAAATCAGGTGGAACTACTTTTCAGGAAACTTTTTCAGCACACGAAAACTAATAAGAGGAAATTTGGAGGTGAATAGGCTTCGTCCCCACCATCAACAAGAATACTAAGAACAAAGAGAAGGAAAACAAAGGTAACTCTTCTCGTTTGAATGGTTCTCAGACTGTCGTTTCAATGGTTCTCAAACTGCCGTGGTTGACCGTGAGTAAAGAAAAATCATCACTGTTTAGTTCTTATTGCTTGTTATTTTGGTGGTATAGAACTGGAAACAACCTAGCCCCACCCAAATTTTGGTCCATCCACCACCACTGCGCACATATAACGTCTAGATATATATATATGGCATGCACAACGATGCAATAACTTCATTGTCATCATTAGATTCTAGATTTTTTTAAAAACCACCAAAACAACTGGATCTGCGTGTCACTAGGCCTAGCAGATTTCTACCGCTTGATCTATCTAGATATCTAGATATCTAGATCTAAATATCTATCTAATCTAGAATCTAGACTTTTAGTTTAAAGTATAAGTACTCCAAATTATCCCGCACCCTTGTACTTTACAATAAATTAATGAAGGTAGTGTCAATTGCCATCAAGTGACGCGGTGGCAATTGACAAAAATTAACTTTTTGTCAATAGCCACCGAGTATATTGGAGCTCTTTTGCGTTAGTGGGTAGATCTAGCATATTGTGCTCGAGTGCTCGGTGTTGTGCGTTCGCCTCTCTGTCCCTCTGTGTGTGTGTGTGTCACTGTGTGTGTGTGTGTATGTGTGTCTTTTCCTGACCCCCGTCCCCAGATTTATGTTCCCCGATATAACGTGAATTTCTGCTTGAGTTTGAGTGCGTTTGTAACCTTCTACTTGTAGAATTGTCTGTGTTGGTTCTACACCAAAACAAAGTGTAGGCTAAGCTAAGGCTAGCCTAAATTTTAGATCTAAATCTAGATCTAGATCTAGGCCTACGTCTCATTGAAAACACACCAAGTTGGTACCGTAGCTCTAGACTAGATGCTCGTCCAATGAAATTAGGTGAGAACAAATTGACCCATCATTAGACACATATCATGTATAATGCTAAAGATAGTGTTGTTTTCAGACTTGACACCGCTTCACTCAGTGGCAATTGACAAAAAGTCAATTTTTGTCAATTGTCACCGTGTCACTCGGTGGCAATTGACGCTACCATTAATTATTAATGAAAGCTTACAAACTTCGTAAGACAAAAGGCTAGGATCAGGGGTACAGTTCAGTTGACGCTCCGGAAAGTTGCTTAACTTTCACAAGACTTCGAGACACTTCGTCATCACAACATAATGCAGATTTCTAGATCTAGAAATCTAGATCTAGATCTAGATCTATATTCTAGATCATCTAGATCTAGATCTAGATATCTAGATTATATCTAATCTAGATTAGATCTTGGTTATAATCTAAGTGTAGGCTATAATGTCAGGCAGGCCTGGGCTTAGACTTAGATAGGCGTATCGACCGAGTTGCCTACCTACAAAAGATGCTAAAATCTCAGTTTACAGTTTCTCGACAAGGCCAACTTGAAACTTGTGGCATTGGCCTACCTGCAGAGATCAAAAAGGAGGACTGTGACTGTGACTCTACTTCTCTCCGGGGCATCATTAGCCTAACAACAGCTAACAATTTGAATGCTAAATCGGTCGTTGCTGCAATGAATCCGTCTGTGTTGGATTGTTTTTGTTCAGTGTCAGGGGTCGAGAGCGAGAGAGAGCAACTGCCTTTTGACCTGGTGACCCATGAACCCTATAAAGGACAGGTAAAGAGGGTGTTCCCAGGAGATTTTATTATTTCTGAAGTCTGAGATATTTTCATAGCTTTTTGTCAGGAAAAAGATGTATTCATTATCTTGAGTAGTTTGAAATTATAGTTATTGTCACGTTTATTGAATAGGTTACTATCTGTTTTAGCATAAGTTTTATTGTCAAAAAGAGACACCATGGGCGACCTTGTCAACAACTGATTTGGTTTCACATTATTCATAATAACAAAGACCATTTGGCAACTAACGATAAAGAGTCCGAAAAAGAGGCAGAGGAGGAACAACATTTCCAGCATTTTCCAGGCCGAGGCCCCTGGGCTAGCGTATAGGCCTAGGCCTAGGCCTAACAACATAATATATTATTATAATAATCATAGGCCTAACCCAAGACCAGTCTTGGTTATAACTTTTTGGCCAAGGTGACAAAAACAAATATCGTAATCGTATCAGATTTATTTATTTATTTACTTTTGTAAAATAATTTATTTATTTAATTTATTTTATTTATTTATTTATTTATTTATTTATTTTTTTTTTGGGGGGGGGGGGGGATGAAATAGCTCTCGATTTCTGACAACGCGTCAATTTTCAAACAAGATCCCACCCCCCCCCCCCCCTTTTTTTTT